AGGAGCTAAACAAATTGTACAGGTTACAACTAGCGAAAAGGAAAAAAGCGAATACTACAAATGCAGTGGTGGACTTCGAAATAGCCTTGAGAGCAAAAGAAGAATGGAAACAAGCTGTAAAGGAGGCTAAAAACAAGAATTACAAGGAGAGGATTGAAGAGCTAAACAATTGTCCAAACACCAAAGACGCATGGCGTTTCATCAGCAATGTTAAAGGCAACAAACACAAAAACGGTGATTGGGCCACAGAAAACAATTTAGAATACCTGGAAATGCTAAAGTCGCAAGTAAGAGCCGCAACAACAATACAAGCAACGCAACCAGGTTTGTACCCTTCACATCTGACACAGCAGCCAAACATCATGGTTAATTTTTCGTATGACAATTTTGAAGAAAAACTCAATAGCAAAAAGTCGACTGCAGGGGGGGTAGACAAAATCACCTTTAGCACTCTCAGACATCTACCTAGGGAATCCAAAGAAAAACTGCTAAAGGCCTTGGAATCAAGTTACCATAACAACGAAGTCATTGAGTCGTGGAGGCGAATCAGAATTGTTCCTATTCCCAAAGCAAATAAAGATTTGGATGACCTAAAAAACTTTAGGCCAATATCATTGATCTCAGTTGTTGCGAAGAGCCTCAATATGCTCATCAAAGATGCCCTGGTAGAAGAAGTAGAGTTACGAAATATAATCCCACAAAAAAGCTTTGCGTACAGAAAACAAAGATCGTCATCAATGTGCTTAAACGAAACCCTGCATTTTGTAGCTGACAAAAAGAGTAACAACGAAAAAGTTTTTATTTGCTTCCTAGATATAACTGACGCATACAACGGGGTCGACCTCGAAATCTTACACCGCACGCTGTTGGAATATAACATAAACCCAAAAATTGCTAATTGGACGAAAAACTTCTTCTCCTCGAGAATACTGACTCTAGGGCCACATGCGGTGGAAGTCAATAATGGACTCCCTCAAGGTAGCTGTTTGTCACCAATACTTTTCAATATTTACACGGCCAAGCTTCACTGTATAAACGATAGCAAAACGCAAGTTTTTCAATTTGCAGATGACATAGCAATAATTTCGCACTGCAAGTCGGAAAAAGCTGCAATCCTCAATTTGAAAACCCAAATTATTAACATCCATGGGATCTGCAACTCTATAAACCTGAATTTCAACTTGGAAAAAACGAAATTCATGTACCTTTCTGCAGGGAACAAAAGAAACTTTGAACTAACAATCAGTGGTAACCAAATTGATCAGGTAGTCACAACAAAATGGCTGGGCAGAATTATTAACTCGAACTCGACAATCAAAGGGCAAGTTGGAAAGGTCAAAGACGAAATAACAACAGGTAAAAATTTACTTGCAAAACTGACTACAATAAAAGCAGGGTTAACACCCAGAATAGGGCTCAACCTATTCAAAGTATTCGTAAGATCCAAGATGGAATACAGCAACACCAGCTATGCCAATGCTCCGAACTGCTACAACAAAAAACTACAAACAATAGCAAATGAATCCCTGCGTAGATGCTTAGGAGTTCCCCCTAACACACCTACCCTAGCTCGATATGCCATAGCATGCGAGCTGCCACCGCTAGCAAGAGCAGTTTGGTTAACTTCAAAAGAGCTGACCAAGCAATGGTTTCTCAATCCAGATTTAAGAACACAACTAAAAAATAGTAGACCGGTCAAATCAAGCTACAGCCACACCTTTGAGAAATTTAAGGACATTTTCAATCAAATTAACACAAACACTACTTTCATCAGACACCCTAATCTCAAATTAATAGACTCAAATCTAAACAAGTCCAAAAACAATGTGGCGCATGAACAACTACAAGCTATCTTTAGAGAACAACAAGCATACTATCTTGATCAGGGTTTTCACATATTAGCGACTGATGCCTCCGTGAGTGAAAATATAGTTGGTTGTGCTGTATACGACAAAGCAAATAACGTCTCCTACTTATACAACATACCCTTTTACCGGTCGACGACGTTTGGGGAATTAGTAGGACTGTTACAGGCGGTCAAACTTGCTAAAAAATATAAGTGGAATAAACCATGCATTTTTACAGACAGCTTGGCCGCTGTAAAACTGTTAAAACGACCGTTAACCCAGAACCATATAGTGGCCGAAATCCACAATCAAATTGCCAATTCACAAGTAGAAACTGCAGTCATCATGTGGGTACCCAGCCACGTAGGCGTAGCATGTAATGAAAAAGCTGACACTGCAGCTAAAACTGCAGTGAATCACGGCCAGACGCTTTCGATTGACTTAACGCCACAAGAGGCACTTATACAAATCAATACTCTACTATGGACAGAGACTAAGGACAAGATAAAGGAAAAATGTGTAGACTGGGACCATAATATCATCAATAGTTTTGCGATGAAGGAAAGACGACCTTGGTTTAAGGACAAGAGATTTGACTTAGAGCCTTATGACATGAAGCTCCTCAACAGACTAATTACCGGACACACATACAACAGCATCTATTTACAACAATTTGTACCAAATGTTAGTGAATACTGCAACACTTGCAATACGCTGGAAACTCCTGATCATCAAATCTTCCACTGTGATAAGTACAACGCTATGAGAACGAAGTTTAAACTCTTTGACACGTACAAGACCATAAATGAAATTATCACCACTAAAAAACCTGAGCTTTTTAAAGAGCTAATAAACTTTTTGCGAGAAACCAAACTAGATGGAGCACTCTAGGCCATAGGTAAGAATCCAGAACTGTGTATT